TGTAGTGTACTGTGCTAATCAAATATATGTTTCATATATATATATATATATATATATATATATATATATTTGTGTGTGTCTCTCTCTCTCTCTCTCTCTGTGTGTGTGTGTGTGTGTGTGTGTGTGTGTGTGCCTAGAAACAATCCCAGCGTGCGGCCCTTTGGAAAGTACCTAGCTGTCTTAACACGAAGTCACAAGTCATGGTGACCGAGGGTTTGAGTGTGATGGTGTTGTTCAGTTTGTTGATCATTCTAGATAACACGCCTCTCTCTCTCTCTCTCTCTCTCTCTCTCTCTCTCTCTCTCTCTCAGAAAACTGTAACTACGGTCTGCTCAACATAGTTGCAGTATAAACCACAGGTTGGGTTTGTAAACAAGTACAAATATGCCTGAGAGAGAGTCTGCAATAGGGATTTTCTAGCCGATGGCTATCCTCAACTATGAGTGGCCAACTATTACACACACACACACACACACACATATATATATATATATATATATATATATATATATATATATATATATATATATATAAGCAAAGTCTCATACACTGAGGGTTTTTTATTTAATTTAATATTGCTTTTTAACCTACAGACCCTTTCCAAGACGAAATATCACAAGCCTATTACTACTCTATCGCTATTTCCATGGGAAATGTTCAGGCGAGCTACTTAATTCTACTAGTTCACGTACTAGCTGCTGGGACCCGTCATGCACGGTACACAGAGTCAAACCACCATTATTTCTTTCGCATTCCACTGGTAAGGAAGATGTTCCACTCAAACAGCTTCTTCCTGAGAACTGTTACTTTAGAGAGTAAAGCCTGAGAGGATGCTCCCCCAATCACTAGTATCTTAACCTTTTCTAGTTTATGGTCAATGGTTATCTATCCTACATATCCTCATAATGTGCATTTACTTCCTTCTCTTACGTCCATACAACCTCATTCAGTAACACTCCACCTTGAGAGGTTCTTGGGTGTTGTATTGGGTGAACATTTAGACAAAAATAAGCTTTATTTCCGTATTTCTTTCAAGGCTTCATTTGAGCCTTTCTCACTGTCGCCAACGATCTATCAGCGACATAAACCAGGAATTACGAAAGCATATCTTCAATCCTAACAAGCTTTACTTGTTTGAAAGATCGATGAAACCCACTCTTCCTGTCCGTGTTTATCCATGAGTTTAATATAGTCTCTACATTAATTTACAAAATTGTGTATCCATTTCGTTTTGGGGATTGGGTGTGTCTGTGTGTAAGTTGAGTGACTCTGCTCTCTTTTTGCGCATTCGACTTCTTGCTTCACCCGGCGCCATTTTGCAAGAGAGTTAATACCACATTCAACGTCCTCTTGGAATAGAAAGCGGCTTGTCGGGAAAGAAAGAGGTGGAGAAGGAATAGCCGATTTCTGGCTCTGCGAATGACCAGACTTGTGTGTCTGTCCAAAGTGAGGTGTACTGGCGCAGGTAAGTAGGCTTGCTTAGACGTACAAGTAACCTATGTCTCAGATCATTCCACTAATCGCACAGGCTTATAAAACTCACGATAAAAGATTTTGCATCTAATTTCAAATTCTCTTTGAGGGTAAGTAAACACACACACACATTCACACACACACATTCACACACACACATACACACATTGGCTGATCGATCAATAATTCTGTAGGTTGTATTTACGAACTGATTTTTAAAATTTCCACAGGATAATGGTCGATCAATGGGATTAACATTCACTACTGAATTAAGTGATTTAACAAGGAAGGAGGTTGCGTCGAAAATAAGTATTTTTTAATTTTTGTTATGGAAAGTGTACAGACGAACTATATTCATTAATTCGACCAGTCCTGACACTAACCACTAGGACCTACCATGCCACGCACATTGTAGCGAAGCACCAACAGTCTCTTTGTATTCCTTTGGTGAGGTGTAAGTTCTACTGAAGCAGTTTCTTCCCACGAACGCCTGGGGCCGACTTTCAAGAGGATGCCTACCCGATCAATACATTCTTAAGCTGTTCAAGTCTAGGGTTAGCAGTTATCTTCCACACATATACCCATAAAATGTGCCTCTGACTCTGAAACTCTCTACCTCGCATAGTAAACAGAACAAGATATCATCTTTGATGGTGAATATCTTTGTTGAAATGTCCATATAATCATTCTGATGATGGCTCATGTGAGCCGAAAGCTTATATCGAGGAACAGTATAATAAAAATAAATATCCAAATGTGGGACAGTTTTTTCTTTCGAAATTAAAACAAGTATACGAACCTTAGAACGGTTTTTGATCAAACATAATCGACATTCGTTGTCTGTTATATTTACCAATAAAATATATGTTTGAAGATATATATATATATATATATATATATATATATATATATATATATATATATATATACACACAGGGTGGCAATAAAGTCACTATACAGTTACTTATAATAAAAAAGCAAAACAGAACCAGAAAAAAGCAAAAGCAATACAGACGACACAAAAACAGGCTACATGACTGTAGCTTATAAAGCATCAAAGTTAGTTAACAATTGTAGCTTATCGGAAGTTTATCTGACCAATGAGAGAAGTTTACGCAATCTATTATCTAACTTAATTATCAAAGATTGCGTTTATACAAAGAAAACGAGAAATATCGATGACCTGAAGCAATTTATTCGAGTCGCTGCTCAATTTTCATTCACTCTCAATTTTCTGGCAATTTTCAGGTGCTAGATACAGTCTGAACGTTATATAAAGAAAAAAATTAAAGAATTTTTTTTTTAATAACGATCAGACTGTATCCAGCAACTGAAGATTGGAAGTCTGCATAAAACCCCGATTCTTGCTATTGACGTTGGATATTATGTGTATTCACTAATATATATTTAGAGCTCTGTTATATAACATTGAACACTGTATTTATAACACCTGAGGAAGAAATATATTTATATGTACATACAAGTATATGTGCCTACATGTATATTTTTTATCATACCTATATCTATCTATCTATCTATCTATGTATCTATCTATCTATATATATATATATATATATATAAAATATATATATAATATATCTAATATATATAATATACATATATATAATATATACATAATGCATATATATATATAATATTTAATATAATAGTGTATATATATATATATATATATATATATATATATATATATATATATATATATATATATATATATATATATATATATATATATATATATATATATATATATATATATATATATATATATATATATATATATATATATATATATATATATTGTAGCTAAAGATGTGACCTGATGAACAAGGAAAAATATATATTCTGGAGAAATAAATTATTGTCATGGAACTTTAAGATTGTCTCTTTCTTAATTATTTTATTAATATTTGCTCTGGTGTTACATTGCTCTCTGGATCACATCCTCTTTGAATTATCCACATGGATTACCAAATCCTTCATTACCATATATATATATATATATATATATATATATATATATATATATATATATATATATATATATATATATATGTATATATATATTATTTTAATGTCTGTAATCGACTGGACAGTAGAATTTGCAAATAAAAATATATTAAAATAAAATTTGTATCTGAAGAAAAAATTTTGAAAAAAAGAAAAGAATAAAAACATCCGAGGAGACCGAAAAAATCTCCTAATGTCGTAATTTCCTAATCCAAAGAAAAAAAACCAAGGTTATGTCTCAGTGTTTGTTTTTGTCATATAAATATGTTCCTTTGTCATATCCTCTTCAGCCAGCTTACCCTGAAGATCCATTTAGTTGAAACCTTAGTATGTAGTCTCTGGCTCAATAAGATTATATATATATATATACTAGCAGTAGAGCCCGGCGTTGCCCGGGGATGTAACAGTAAGAGATAGATCAAGTATCGACCATCATAAAGACTGAAAAATAAAATTGATAAATATTATTGTTTAAAATTGACAAACACGCATGTCTTAATTAGTTTTTTTTTTTTTTTTTTTTTGGTCAAACCCAAACTCAAACAAAAACATTGTTTTCAATCGTTATGAGTCTATCGATTGAATAGAATTTTATTATAAACAATTGTCTTGTAAATGGAATTTTTAAAGCATTCTGAATGTAAAAATAAAGAAAAAAGTGTGCAAGACAATAAGAAACACTACCAAAAAAAAAGTGAAGTCTTGTTAAAATTGGTTGAAAAATGCAGGAAATCTGATCCTATATATAAACAAATACACACACACAAACAACCAACCTGGCTTTTATAATAAGTATAAGTCGATATGAGTTGTCACACTTTCATTCTCGTGATGCCTCTTAATGTTTTCAAATTGATTTTTTGCAAAAGCAATTGTGTTTTTCCAATTTTTGGCGCTGTCAGAACCACCGCAAGGTAATTTTACATAGCCCTGTGAAGTTTTGTTGAAATCGGTTGAAAAATGTAGCAAATCCGATCCAATATATAAACGTACAGACACACACACACACACACACACACACACAACCTGGGTTTTATAATAAGTATGATATATATATATATATATATATATATATATATATATATATATATATATATAGAGAGAGAGAGAGAGAGAGAGAGAGAGATTGCATGCATCTGGTAATTGAGAACAAAAAAAACACCGACAAATGACACCAGTAAAAATGCACAGCTATCTCCTTCACTCAATAGGTTCTGTGTGACAACTATATATAGACAAATCTGGCAGAAGAGTCTGGTTAGGATCGAACCTACGATCAATACTTTGCGATATTAGCCACCTGCTTTCTGTACATATTTTCTGTATATCTACTTTGAGTTACTTGCGTGTGTTAAGTTTATGTACGTGCCTGCTTATTCATTTTCTTTGTATAAATTCTAGCATGTGCCTCTCTACGGTGGTGGTGGTGGTGGTGGTGGTGGGGGGTGTCGTTCTCATCTATGAAATCATCTACAGAAGAATAGAAGGTGTTCGGAATGTCAGTTCCGCATAGCTACAACGAGTAATGGAGGCGCGTGAAAGTATGACCGAGAAGCGAGCGGTTTATCCCTGAATGAAAGAAAGGTGACTGGAAAAGTGATGTCTGTGAGAAGCAGGCTAAAGGAACATGGTAGAAAGAGACAGAGAGAGGTTGAGTGTGAGAGAGAGAGAGAGAGAGAGAATGAAGGGCTTCCTTTCAATGATAGGTTTTCAAATTGGAACGAAGGTTCAGATCCACATAGAAAAGAAAAATCTAATTATGGGGAAAAGAAAAAAGAAATCTCGTAGAATAAAATTGTAGCGTGCTTGCATGTGTCGACATTGAAGTCTTTGCATGCAAAAGGAGAATAGCCAACGAAATCCCAGCGTAAACGCTCACGTTTTTAGCAAACGGAAGCCGTATTATACGCTACAGAGAATTACTCTTTCAAACGGTGCAATAAATTAGAATATTCTACACAATTTTAAAGACAAGATTTACTATACAGTATTTATTTTCTCAGTAAATGAAACCCAAGGGAAAAGCTGAAATTGTGGGAATGTCATCATTTGTCAACAATAAATTAAAAGAATATTAAAGATTTAACATTATTTATTAAATGAATAGGCCTGTCATACACAAATAGCCGGATACTCGTCTGCTAGGAGGCTAACGAATCCCTGTTGCAGACGCCTGCTCAGATACATTTGTGTATGTTCAACACCCACAAAGCCCATCTGCACTTTATATTGCAGCTCTGACGAGCCGACCTTGGTTGCCATTTCTGGGAGATAAGGCATAATCTGCGGAAGTCAACAGTTTGAACCACGCCAGTATGCTGAAACCCTCGGCCACGATGATTTGGGACTTCGTGCTAGCAAAACCATCGACGGCTTCCGAACAGTTATGTATCTACCCAATTTCACTCACAAGGATTGTGTGAATTCGGGGTTTGGTTTTCAGGCACTTTCCAAAGATGCCGAACGCTAGAATCACCTCCCCAGGCTGATAATGAATCGTTCATGAATCGAGATTGGATGACGGATCTCATGGTCGGAAAACGAACGTTTTAACCACTTACCAAAAAAGCAACATTCGGATTATCTTTTGATATTTCTTATAATATTTAATTAAAACACACAGAGAGAGAGAGAGAGAGAGAGAGCAGGCAGCAGAATTGATGTATTAAACCTTTGTATCATTTCCAGTTCAAAATTAACTATGGAAGAAGTAACTGTCAACCAGGCAATATAGTAACGGTATGGTTTAGTGTGGTTTTTTTAACGGTTTATCAACCCATTTTGTCATTTAATGCCGAAATTTAATTTTCTTTTGAGCGTTAGTAATTTCTTTTAGGACAAAAATATCGCTGATTTTTTCCTTTAAAAAAATGTAATGTTGGTAAATTTTTTTGTTGCAAAAATATGTTGCTGACAATTTTTTTTTTTTTTTCGTTACAAAAATGTAATGCTGGCAATTTTTTTGGTCCCTACAGAAATGTATTGTTGGTAACTTTTATTCCTATGAAAATGTATTGCTGGCATTTTTACTATAAAAATCATTATACTTTCATAGTGTTTTGACCCCAGTTTGGGGTTAACTATTTGCCATAGCCGAAACTCTAACAGGTGTTACCAACCTGGGTTAGGTTGGACCCGGGAACAACAGCAATTAAGACGTGGTTGCACACTCCTCAAAACCTGCCAATCAGTTTCCTTGCTGACGGATGCAGCTTATCGTCAGGACGGACGAGATAGTAAAGCAAAAGCCGGAAGAAAGAACTATCAATTAAAAAAAAAAACAGAATATATGGTTGCCAGCAAAAGGAACAGCTGAAGATGCGAGCTGCAAATTGGCGATGTCAAATTTAGACACATTAGACTTAGTTTTCTAATGTGGATTCAAAATGGTCTTCCTTCGAATGAAATCATCGGATTAGCATCATTTTCTATTAACAGAAAATGTACAAAAAATTATACGAAGGATATGAAAAACAGATTGTAAATATTAGTAATGATTAATCATAAGCATGGATTATGCTTAGAAAACGTGAAAGCGAAAAGTGAATGCCTGTCACTAAGGTGAATACAAATTGCATTAAATTAACACAAGGAAGAACCCAGAAATGCCACAAATGTCATCTTTATTAGTTGCCATTTTTGGCAACTAATATAAAATGAAAAGCATCAAGCAAATACAGAAATTTAAATAACTTGAAAGTGTTTTTACAGACAATAGAAAATTTGACACAGAAATCCGAAGGCGCGTTTGAATAGGACGTTTTCCAAAAGTTAAGCAAAGTATGAAAAAAAAATAGGAACATTTCGTTAGAAACAAAAAAAAACAGTGTTGAACTATGTAATATTATTTATTCCATATGGCAGTGAATATTTAATTTTCAAAAAGAAACTAATGCCAGAAGCCAGTAGAATCGATATATTTAAACCTTATTTCATTTCCAGTTAACAATGTCGACAGTGAACTGTATAGAAATTCAGAAAAAAATGTAGAGAAAGGTCATTTTAATGCTGTAAGCATGAATGATATTTGAACATACAACCAGATACCACCGTCAGGCATTGATTGGCTCGTCAGTTTCCCCCGTACGATGGTTTCGATTCCTGTTTGCGGCGGTGTACGCAAGAGCTAGGGAAGACCAGGTGTGTGTTCACAAGGGAACGGAAAGTGAAATATTGTCACCACGATGAATGAAATTATCAATCCCTTTTCCAATATATTGGGCTCTTTATTCATGCAATCACATTCTGACGGCTAGCTGACACTTGGGATATGTTCATTGTTACTTCTCTCTTTCCTCACGACAAGTTAATAAACCAGATCTTCTCTTCGGCCAATGAGAATTCAGTCTGCATCCGACTCTACATTTCTCTTATTCTATTTCTATCGAGTCTCCGACATGTCTGTGAATCTATCTCCCCACCGACGTATACTTAAGGCACATCTAGTTACAACGGACAGCTTCTGACTGCACATTCTAGAATGCATATTGACTATGTAGGCCCACCTTCCCTACCTTCCGTCCGAGTGGCATATGATCCCAAAATTTTATTATGTCTTTCTTTTTCACTACTTGTAGACAGCGGGTGGCTACTTTGAAGCTATTATACATAACTAAAGTTCTTTTACATGAGTAAAGTCCATAGCCTGATTATATAAAAAAAAAAAGATTTTCATTTATTTTTTTCAACGTGATCTCTTTTATTTTCCTTTCAGACCTATCAAGTTCATTAACATGGCAGGTTTCAATCTGACATGGGAAATGAAAACGCAAGCAGTACTCTTAGCACGAGCCGCCAATCACAGTGACTTGTAGAAAGCGAACTTCTTGAAAGTGACCAGATGAACGGGTGGAGGAATTTGTGCCTAATCACCGCTTACATCAAGGTGTTAACTATGGCCAAGCCTTGGATTAAGAGAGTGTTTGTGTGTGTCCATTCATTTGCAAGTGACCCTCGAGTCGCTGTCTGGGAATTTTCATGATCATATCACCTCTTAACATGCGGTCACGTAGTTGTCTCGATTTGAATCTCTGAACTATTACGTCTCGAACGTCATCGAGAGAGGGAACAGCCATTACCCCAAAACAACAAGAACTTTATTAAAGCCGCAATCGTTGATGTGATGACCAACTCGAACGAGAAAAATTTGATTCGGACAGCATCAGAAGACAGAGATATTAGTAAATACACATATTTAACATTTTTCACACATTATTTTAGATATATTATTAGTGGTATAAAATTTAATTAATGCAATAAAAACAGACGTTTTTTTAATCATTTCACACCAAACAAGACGATAACGCCACTAGGACGCAAGGAGTTACTGGGAGGGAAAGAGGATTAGAAGTCTTTAGTGAGGAGAAAGGACAATAAAAGAACAGATTCAGAAAGACAGATGTCGATTGGCGTTGCATTTAAAATTCCGAAGATTGTAAATGGCAGGGAAGCAAGAAATCGGAAGATAGTTCCACAGTTCATCTTGCTAGCTCAACAGTAAAACGGTGAGACCTAGTTGCCAATCTAGTAGCACGCTTAAATTCACGAAATCTAGGAGCCACGCCACGTCCGTCAGGAAATGACTGTATTTGAGACGCCAGTTCAGGATCGATTACATCACAGAACCTTCCTGGAAATTTGTCAAGAATCTCAAAAGATATAGTAAGAACAGCAAACCAGATATGGCAGCAGTATTCAATGCACGGAAGAATGCTAGATTTATAAATGAGCAAGATCGATTCTGACGAGAAAAAATGCCTGGCTCGGCACAGTGAACCAATTATCCTAGCAGTAGACCTATCAATTGATTCAATATAATCACTCCACCTCATGTCAGTGGAGAAAAATCAGCTCAATAAGACGTCAAGAATTGCTCTTTTGAAGGTTTGCATCAGTCATGCAGATTACAGGCAGAAAAGTTTATTTTGGAGACGTTAAAACTTAGAAGCCATTTCTTGCCCCAGTTAACAACCGATTTATTAATATTTTTAGACGCCCACATGCGACACTGCAGACGCCTTTGTTGTAACGGTTATTGGTGTAAATTAGGCGTGTCGAGTTTGATTCTCGCTCGATTTTGTTTCATTCACTTAGCGCTAATGCTTTTGGAAGAAGAAATCTTTCTCCAGCAATGTGTTAAATAGCAGGGCTGGGTGGGACCTCTTGCCTTGTGCCTGAAACTAGTCTCGGAGAAAGAAAACTCTGAATTCAAAACCAGCCTCAAGAGCGCTGAGCTCCATCAGGCTAGATTGTTCTAGACACAACACTAAACACACTGGCGTCTTGTCAACGTTAATGGCTTACGGGGCACACTTAAGTTGAAGAATGACACATTTAGCGCACAGATGCTCTGACTCCAGATACAACTGATGAGCCATATTTAAATCATTTGATTATTTAAACTGGTACTATGCTAGTAGACATAAAATGAGTACCATCGTCTACACCCCTCTACATATGCCCAAAGAAATCTGTAGTCAAAAATTGACAAAATCGACTATCAAACATATCGTTTCACATGAACTCTGAAAGGACATTAATTAAAGCTTTTCGATTTCTATTTAGGGATTTAACTTTCTATTACGCTTACCCTGATATGCCTTCAGCGCCGTTAATGTAAAATTCATATTCAGGGATTTCACCTTCAATTGCACTTACCTCAACATGCCATGATTCATTGATTACGCCTGGTATTATATAAATCACTTTGTGCTCAGTATCTTTTCATGCTGAAAATTTTATTTGTTTAACAAAACAGTGAAATGGGAATATATTTCAGAAGAAAAAGATTAGCAGAAGAACACCAAAGATGGTGAAGGCAAAGACTATTTCAAGACCACGTTGAAGCAAAACAATCAGATAACAATCAAAGGTATCTGAGTGCTACCTATGAAATGCTTGAACAAATAAGATTGCAGTCAAAGAAACGTAGAATAAAGGGGCTGATTAATTAAGTGTTTCATATTGTCCTGGAACTTATTTTGTTTAAAGGCAAAAAACTATTTTATTTATATTTTATTAAACCAACTAAGGGAAGTAATCACCCATAGATTTACTAACTTATGTTTATTTACCTCCCTTCCCACTAGATATGGGACAGGAAATATATAAAAAATACACAGGAATTATATAGATAAATACTTATTGATAATTATTATATGGTTTGATTATTGTATAAATTTATATTCGCTCGTATTTTCGAGCCGATACTGAAAAACTCTCTGGTGTGTAGTCATTTGGCTAGATTTCGGAAAGTGTGTCGGGCCAAGGACTTGCCAAGGACCCCTGCTTATTTTCTGTATTCATGTTGTTATTGGCTCTCAATGAATTCGTTATTTGTACCTTATTCTTCATATTTTGTGTAAATACTTTGTCATCAGAGTCTATTTTGTTGCCGACGTCTTACTCCTCTTTCCGCTACTCCTTCCACCCTTTCTCCCTATTCCATTTTCCTCCTCTATTATTTCCTTCCTTTTCCTCAACTCTCTCTCTCTCTCTTTCTCTTTCTCTCTCTTTCCTCTCTTCTCTTCTCCACACGCATTTGCACTTTCCAGCTAAATTGCTGACTGCTGCTGTAATTAAGATGTGAAAATCTCTGAGCCATCTTTCATTTGGTCAATCAATAATAATTGTCTATACCCTTCAAGTCTGACATTATTGTTTGAAGAAAGTGTCTACGGATAAACGATTAATGCATGCATGTACAAAGACTAACATAGAGTTTTACACACGCACAAATAGATAATCTAACACACACACACAAATAGTCTAACGTATCGATTCAAATCCATACAAATATATATATATGACCTCCGTAGATAGATAGATAGATAGATAGATAGATATGAACAGACTGAAAGAGAGAAATTTAAATTTAGTTTAGTTTGACTGTAATACCAAGAGAGGGACGAATTCTTCATTGTAGCAATTTGTTTGTGTGTCCAACTTGCTAGCCTTTGCTTTACAACAGAAACCAACTCTCTCTTACCTTCCCTCCTCCTATCTTATCTTTACCCGATCTTACTAACACTCTTTTTCTCTCTCACACTCTCTCTATCTTTATATATATATATATATATAGAGAGAGAGAGAGAGAGAGAGCGAGAGAGAGAGAGCGAGAGAGAGGGAGAGAGACCGATAGATAGATACGAAGATATATATATATATCACTGTCTTCGTATTTCTCTCTCTCTCTCTCTCTCTCTCTCTCTCTATCTATCTATCTATCTATCTATCTCAGTATGAAACATATTTTACATGTAAATAATCCCAGATTATATTCATCCCCCTTCCGACCTCTTATTTCCCAAGGTCCTCCCCCAGTTTGAATTGTTATCTAGTAATTTTTCATATTATACTTATGATTTGTACATTTAATTGAAATGCATCCCTAATTTCTTCCCTAGCAAAATTTCCTCGTCCAGATTTTAATTCATTCTGATTTGTAAGCCAAGTGCATTCTGTTTGATGTAAACTTTACATTTAATAATTTTTATACTTTGAGTCATTGATGTAAACTTCACTGCAAAAAATTCCTTTAAATTATTCAATTAAAGCAAGTAAAAATAACAGTTTATAAACATCCACGGTGCTGCGGGGAGTTGGTGGGTGCTGAAGCCAACTTTTCTTTTTACTGGAACTGAGAACTACAGCTCAGCGCAGTAATACTTTTAGATTGCTAATTGTTTTCGAGCTGGACTGTAACATTTGTCTAAAATTATTAATGCTATTAATTTTCAAAATAAATCAGAAAACTTCAATCATTTTTTCCAATACATTAGCTTTTATATATGTTTTATATGCGGGAAAAGTTTTATAGATCTCATTCCAGAAAATAAGTACCAAAGAAAAAGAAAAATAAAAAACTGTGTATTTAAAATCAATGCAAAAAAAAAAAATTACAGTTGGATAATAAATCTAAAAGAAAAAACATATTTTAATATTTGATTTAGCCGTAATTTTAACATCTAATTTATCCGCCCCCTTTTAACATCTGATTTATCCGCCCCCTTTTAGCATCTGATTTAGCCGCCCCTTTTTAGTCTCTGATTCTTCCGCCCCTTTAGCATCTGATTTATCCGCCCCTTTTAGCATCTGATTTATCCGCCCCCTTTTAGCATCTGATTTAACTGACCCCTTTGTAGCATCTGATTCAGCCGCCCTCGTTAAACATTAGTCACCCCTTTTTAATATTCGGCGCCCACATTTAACACTAGCCAACCTCCTTTGAGCATCGTATTTAGCCCCCTTCTTTTAACATCTTATTTAACCGCCCCCTTTAACATCTAATTTAGCCGCCCCCTTTTAACGTCTGATTTAACTGCCCACATTTAACATCTGATTTAGACGACCAGTTTTAGCATCGTATTTAGTTACCCCATTTTACCTCTGATTTAGCCGACCCCCATTTAACATTTGATTTAGCCTCCGCTTTTTAACTTCGATTTAAAGCCCCCCACTCCACCCTTTTTAACATCTCTTTCAGTACCTCACAATCATTACCATCACACAATTTTTATTTTGTGACGTCCTGTTTGATAAATAGCGACATTTTTTTTTGTTCATCATTAACTCGTATCCAAAAATAATTAATCCAACAAAAACAGAGAAATGTTATGATTAAAATGAAATATCCGAATTATTCGTGTTAATATTCGCATATAATACGTACTTATTTGTCCAGATTTTTAAGCTTAATTGTCAGCGGTGCGAGTGGTGGTATGTACGACCTTTGAACACCCCAATCGTGGGGAAAGCCTGATTAGGAACCCGGGCAGTGTTTTGTGACCCTCCCTATCTTATCAACATTTGCTTTTTTCTACCAACATTTATATATATTACAAATTAAATTAAGCACAACTGACTATCATTAAAGAATGAAAAACTTTCGAGTATTTTGACGTCATTATGATGTCTTTTTTTCCCAAGTCCGTGAATTTGTTTTGCTCATGCTAAGTCTTGAAAAATCACAAAATAAAATTCACTTTTTTATCCATAATGTTGAATGCGTTAAAATGATTCAATCTTTTAACAAGAAAAATCTGAAATGACGCTAAAATTTGCCGCAAAACATTGTTGATTTATTTAAGATAAAATGACTAATTTGTATTTAGATATATTTTATTTATTTTCTATTTTCTATTGTTCAACTATATTGCATATGATCCATTATTGTACATAATTAGGTTAGAATAAAATTTGTATTTTATATGAATACTACCTTATGAAAATTGCGATGTAGTACAGAGGGGGCGTATCATATATGGGGTGTCGATATCATAGATTAGGGCGCAGTATCATAGATTCGGGGTCTTTATCATAGATCGGGGGACACGAGACCCCTTCACCGGCACTGGGTGCGGGAACTAAATATTAACGTCCTTCAAGCCACGTATTTCACTATATTCGGGTTGTGGTGGAGGTTAAGACCGAGAGTAATTTATATTTATCGTACAAACTAACTAATGTGTAATCACGAACCAAACGCTGATTTTTTTTTCCTTTAATTATTCACATCAATAAGTATATACACTCACGGGTTGGTGGTCAGCCATCTTTGATCTAAATTTCTCCAGTTAAAATGGTATCATTCCTGTTAAGGTCAATCATTAAATGCTAATTTTTTTAACTGAGTCTTTCACTAAAGTAGAGTCATTAAAGCAAAACATTGACTTTGTAATCTTTTGAGGTAGGATTTATTTAACTTTTAACAGCGAGGCAACCCGAAGAGATCTAGATGTCCTGCCGGGATTTATCATCGGTAGCCACAGTCTTAACTGCCTAAGATGACACCGTGTTGATGACAGATACAAGAGGAAAACTGCAGGTACTCTAACACAAGGCAAGTGAAAAGAAAGGGCTAAGCATCAGTTATCAAAATGTATGGTCATTAGCGAGATAGGTATCATTATCAAGCAAGTACAGAAACTTAACCAGCTGGGCAGCGTTTTAACAGATGACAAAAATGTGAGATAGAAATCCAGAGGCACACTGGAATAGCGGAAGATGTTTTCCAAAATCTAAGCAAAGCATTAAGAAACGTATCTTTGTTGCCGTATTCACGACGTTTCAGCCGTTGTACGCTCCGGCTTCTTCAGGCGATTGGAATTTCGAACTAGCACATGGCTCAGTTTGTTGGATCCAGTGACTTGACCCAAAAAGTTGTGAGTTCAATACCTGGCTCAGAGGTGAAAAAAAAACCCTGGAGAGTTGTATTAAAGGGAGATAACCGAAACATTCGGAAGAGTCATGGCACGTGGAGCTAGAACAATCTACCCCGGTGGACGAAATAAAGAGTTCAGTTCGAAATTCTAACTGTCCGAAGAAAGCCAGAGCGTACAACGGCCGAAACGTCGTGAATATTGCAACAAAGTTGAAGACAACAGTTCGGACAATGTAAATAGTGTTAATAATTACAGTACCTCATCTCAGAAATATAGACAGATATTAAGAAACAAAGAAAAGATTGCAGTATCAATGAATGCTTGACAATAACCTCACTGATGAACAGGAGACCTGAGGCAACAGAGATGAAGGTCTACAGAAGGATGCTGAGAATACCATGGTCGGAGCATGTAAGCGAAGAGGAAGTTTGAAGAAAAAAGGACACGTATCTTTCGAACCAGAAAGAGCCTGTTGAAAGAGACACATGAAAGAGGGCTTGGAGAATTTGACACACCATGACATATTGAAGGCAAGTGGGACAGTGAGAAACATCGAGCAACCTACCTAACGAGCTTGGGTAAATAAATGTCAGAACAGGGAAGTGGGGAGATAGTAAAAAGCCAAACATTGCTAAGAGTTACGAAGGATAGAAAGTTGTGGAGAGCTATGATCCCCTACGTCCTGAAGGTGCACGGTAAATATAAGAAGAAACTTTGTGAAACACGGCAAATATTCACTTGGGCTGACGTCTAGTAACACGCCTGCTTCTTATACCTTTCCTCATTCTTTTAAGAGAGTTATATGGAAATACGAAAAAGAACTGGTGGCATTTGATCGGTAGCTGATAGCAGAACAAATTAATGGCTCGGAAATTGGTACAAATTAGATTTTGTATTTAATTCACCTCGTCAGTATTGATGGAAATAAGTCGTAATCAGAACAAATTAATTCTGGTTTAGTTGACGCAATAAAAACATAGCTTCTAGACCCAAACACCTCACCAGTGTTTTGCAATTCCAACACGCTAACCACTGAGCTACTATAATTATCTCTGTCTCAGACACATGCGCACATCAATCCACACACAAGCACGCACACACATACACACACACATCTATGCATATATCTACACATACTTATGCATACATACTTATCCACACATTTTTTTTCATCCATACACAAGTTCATTCATGCACATACACAGTACACACCCAATCCATGAACACGCACAGACACACACAATACCTTCATACACACATTCACACACAAGTCCATTTACATATACACCCATATACATGCATATTCCTTCATCCGCAAACGCACACATACACATAGACTCCATCTATGTACACAAATACATACACAGTACCTCCACACACACTTTCACACATACGCACATATATACCCATTCATAAATGACTTTGAGCAAATGAAACATAAGAGTCTTGACAAAGACCATCTTTCTTTGAACATTGTCGATTGGCGCTACATAATCTCAAACAAAGAACTGTACCAAATAACAGAAACCACACTACTTGAGGAATATCGGCAGCATCAACAATTAAAATGGATATCCCATGTAACCCGAAGAAAAAATAGCGTCATAATCAAAATGTGGACATTCCACACTACTCCAAACAAAAGGTTAGGAAGGAAACAGCCATCAATACTGGAAAGAGTGATAACAGCTATTGGAATTGAGAAACCTATTTTCAGGAAAAATTGTTTTAAGAACAAGATTTTATAGATTTCAACCGACAGAATTACTGGCTGTTCGGTCATGATGAATGCCAAATGTTGCCTTACCATCACCATATACAACCCATTTGCATGTACATGCAAAATACTGACCTTGTAAAATGTCGTCAGGGTCACATTAATTTCATTTTTTAACGACTTTAAAACTTACAAAAAAGAATCGTCAAAGACTACTGCGCATACATAGTTGCAGCTTAGAAACAGATCTCAGTATAATTCATATCTTTTGTTAAATTACAGAGAAATATATTTCTTATTGACCAATGGGAATAATTGCTTATTCATTATTAGATCATGACTTAGCTATAAAATAACGAGCAAAGAAATAGCAGTTTACAAAGCGATTATTTAAAAAAAAAAAGTTATATTAAACATAATTATTCTTGTTTTTCAAGAATTTCATCCAAGAAAGAATTATTTTTGAAAAATTCCTCTTCTGCTTAACCGTTTTTTCTTTTCAAGATATTATTACTTTTGTTCTTATTTTGATTCTTATATTTGTTCTTAATTTAATTCTAATTCTTACTGCAATTTTTTACTTTTATTCTTACTTTTGTATTGAATTTAATTTAATTCTTACCTTAATTGTTGCTTTTACTTATAATTTATTTTAATTCTTACTATTTATTCTTTATGCAGTTCTTACTTTTATTCTTACAGTAATTCTTACTTTTTATTCTTTTATCCTTTATGTAATTCTTACTTTTATTGTTATTTTATTCATACAGTCATTCTTAATTTTATTCTTTTATCTTTTATGTAATTTTTACTTTTATTCTTACAATAATTCTTACTTTATTCTTACTTTTATTCTTTAAATATTTTTACTTTTATTCTAACTGTAATTCTTACTTTTATTCTTTAGGTATTTCACATTTTGATTCTTACCAGTAGCGTGTAGAAGTGGCTGCAGAGGGTGTGTCGACGCCGGATATTCATATTGGGAAAGTATCCAATGAAAGAGTGAAATAAATTTTAATTTTTGAAATTTGAAATAAAGGGATTATTTCATGTTTCATCTGTTTTTACATATTTAAAAGGTCCCTACACTCCTACTTGAGTCTTAGGAGCATACAATCAAGGTGTTTGCTCCGGTCATTACTAAACTTCACCAAACTTCTGCATACCACTGATTTTTATTGTAATTTTTACATTTGTACTTATTTTTATTTATGATTTAATTAAATTCTTACTCTTATTGACACGTTTAATCGTAATGTAATTCTTACTTTTATTCTTACATTTATTTAAATTTTAATTTAATTCTTACTATTATTCTTACTGAAATTCATAATGTAATTCTTATTGAAATTCTTACTTATTTCTTACTTTTATCTATAATTTAATTCTTACTATTATTCTTACTGAAATTCTTAATGTAATTCCTACTTTTATTCTAACTTTTATTTATAATTTAGTTTAATTCTTACTGTTATTCTTAATGTAATTCTTACTGTAATTCTTACTTTTACTTTTATTTTAATTTAAATCCTAGTATTATCCTTACTGAAATCCTTCATGTAATACTTACTTTAATCCTTACTTTTTTTCTTACTTTCATTTATAATTTAATTTAATCTTATTATTACTCTTACTTAAATTCTTAATGTAATTCTTACAGAAATTCTTATTTTTATTAATATTTTAATTTAGTTCTTGCTATAATTCTAACTGAATTTCCTAATGTAATTCTTACTGTAATTTTTTTTATTTATAATTTAATTTTTATTCTTACTATTGTTCTTACTGAAATTCTTAATGTTATTCTTACTGCAATTCTTACTTTTATTTGTAATTTAATTTAATTCTTACTATTATTCTTACTGCATTCTTAATGTAATTCTTACTTTTATTCTTACTTTTGTTCATGATTTAATTTAATTCTTACTATTATCCTTACTGAAATTTTAATGTGATTCTTACTTTTATTTATAATTTAATTTAATTCTTGTTTTTATTCTTAGTTTAATTCCCTATGATAAAAGTAATATAATGTTCACCGTGTCGATATATTACAACATAAATAAAAGTTTTCTACTGTTTTTCCTGTATTTATTTTAACAGACTGTCACAAATGAAGTATTTTCATTCTACATAATGGATACGTAAGGTTATCTGCGAGTTTAGTGAATGTATTTTACAGTAATGTATTAAGGCCTGTCTGCTATATTCATTTTCATAGAGAAAGCTCTCCTACAAGAATAAGGAAAGCCTAACGCGCACCGCAAATATGAAAAGCTATGTTAATATGGGAATTAAATGAATGGTTTGAGAAAGTGATTGGGCAACTCTTATGATCTGAGTAAACAAAAGCGTAATCTTTTAAATAGAACAATAACGTTTATGAAATCTAGTTCTGAATAGCGATTAAGATTAAACTGAATTGATGTCGATCTTTGGAGACAGATTTGAAACAACGGACCAGTCGAATAATCTGAGCACTGAGCTATCAGACAGGGACAGTGTGTGAGATTTCATTCGTATCCAACTGCGTCGGAATGAGTGAGCAAAATGCCGTTTTATTGTGCAGATGTGCTTGTGTGTCTGTCGACCGAATGTATGAATTGTCGGTGAGGTTTATTGATAGATTTTTTGGATTCGGAAGCAAGGGATGAGGTCGAAGAGACATTGGAAGAACCCGGGTGATACACTCAGTCAGATGCAGACACATGCAAGATGAAGAAAGAGTGGGAACGGGAAGAGGGGTTTGAGTACTAAATCAGCAGGATGGATGTGTTAGAGGGGTGGGTGTCGATTCCGCGGAGTTTCGAAATTCTTGGCGTGTTTCTGTCTATACTGGCAGACAGACAAAAAAAAAGAAAAAATTAAAAGACAATAGAAGCAGATAGATAGATAGATAGATAGATAGATAGATAGATAGATATAGATAGATACATAGATAGATAAAGAATAGTAAAAGACATAGATAGATAGATAGATAGATAGATAGATAGATAGATAGATAAAGATAGATAGATAGATAAAGAATAGTAAAAGACATAGATAGATAGATAGATAGATATGAATGAATAGACGAGCATGGATATATATGTTTGTGTGTGTGCACACGTGCGTAAACGAAAGCGAAACACTGAAATATATATGATTATTTACGCACGCACAAACACGCACACTCGTATGGACATAAACTCTCGCACACACACATACACATACAAACACACACAGATAGAAACAAAGCAGACCAATATATATATATATGTGTGTCTGTGTCCTTGTGTGTAAATACTTTCAGTGAGAGTATATCTATAAAATGAATAAAGACAAAAAGCCTAAGTTTTCCTTTTGTCTTGATTCTTATATATATATATATATATATATATATATATATATGTATGTATGAAGAGATAGATTGAGACTAATATGAAGAGACAGACAACAGAAATATGAAAAGGATAAATCAGTGTATGGATGAAAGGCGGTGGCGATAGCAATAAGGTATAGACAATGAAAAAAATTTAAAAAATTAAAAACATGTAAATAAATAAAATAAATATGGAAGTTTTGCCCGAAAACAATTTTTTGGCGGGCTTTTCTCGTAAATAACTGAATCATACATCTTTTTGAAATGAGTTCGCCATGAATGTAGCCACGTATAACGTTGGTGGCATCTAGCAAATAAATGATTGTAGAGAGACGCACATACCGAGGTACATACATACATGATGAGATTGGGTGAGTCAAACACACGATTAAATCATGCATGCATACATAAATGTGTGTGCACGCGGGTATGTACTATGACGCCGGCAATTGTGAAATGCTTGGTAAGTTTTCGCTTGTAGAGAGAGCTCGATCTTCTCACACACACACACACACACACACACACACACACACATATATATATATATATATATATATATATATATATATATATATATAAAAATGGGTAAATATACGAAAATACATATATATATATTCTATAGTGTAATAAAAAACAGTGCTCATTAATTAACAGTGCTAATTAATGTATATTAAGAAATGTACGTTTATTTCTTAATATTTATATATTTTTTTATATATCCAGAAAGAATAGGATTATGGAAATTGTATGACAAAGTGGAAAAACACTATTTACATTATTCGGACTATTGTCCTCGTCTTTGTCGCCATGTTTATCGCAACGTTTTGGCCGTTGTACGCTCCGGCCTTTTTCATGTGGTTGGAATGTCGAACTGAAGGGTTCAGTTCGAAATTCCAACCACCTGATAATAGTACGAATGTAAATAGTGTACATAATACCTCATCTCAGAAATATAGAGAAATACCAAAGTGGAAAAAGTTTACTTGTGACGTGTTTCGTCCTTCGGGACTTCCCCGGACTATATTTGATATGATGATAGGACTACACATGCGCACGACAGAAGGATGCTGGGAATTTTAGATTTTTTTTTTTTTATCAGCCCAATTCATTTAGAGTCTTTTTCTTTTATTTCCCAACAGTCTTGTAATTGAAAAAAATGCTAGAAATTCATAGGACCCACGGCCGTACCAACATAACAAATTTAGTCAGATGAAGTCCTGAAAGACAAAACGCGTCACAAGTAAACTTTTTCCATTTTGGCATACAATTTGCCCATATATATATATATATATATATATATATATATATATATATATATATATATATATATATAATTCATTAGAAAATTATAACATAAACATATTATGAAATCTACAATTTCGAATAAATTATAATTGCTCTATATTGAGCACTCTTTTAAGAATGGTATTTTTGGTTATTGGAGTTTATTCCGTATGCACCAATCCTATACTTGGATATATATATATATATATATATATATATATATATATATATATATATATATATATATATATATATATATATGGGCAAATTGTATAACAAAGTGTAAAAAGTTTATATATATATATATATATATATATATATATATATATATATATAAAGACTAAAAAAACTTATCTTAGCCGACACATTTCGTCCTCTGATGGATTTTGTCATGGTAAATGTAAGGATTTTATTTCGCAACAAGTACTTATAAACGAAAGTAAAACTGCCGTTGGTTTTTCAAAATGTTTAAGAACGGTCATAAATATTCATCAGTGAAGCTGAAAAGTTAAGATAAATTATGGGGGGGTGATGCTATTTGTCCCTGGATCATTGTCCCTTACTCATTTGGGTTCTGTGTAAGCCTTCAATTTAGTTATATCTCAAAAAAATCGAAATTGTTATTATTACGTCAAAGTAAGATTACCGATTAAGCGTGGGATATGTGTATATTTTTCCGCGCGCTCACTCAAACGAATTGTGATATCAAGTGACAGTAAGTCTGCACGATATCCAAAAACTCTCTTCAATATTCGAGCTAACTTTCCGTTAAGCTTTTCGGGTTTTTACATAATTTTTTTTCAGTCCTTCACCCTTAAGCCCATATATTTATCCAGATTTTTGCTTTTGTCATTATTATTATTATTATTATTATTATTATTATTATTATTAACTATACTTAGAGAAGAGCTCGATTTAAGAAAAGAAAATACATAGAGTTTAATAATATTTAACAATGTTCCGATAGTATATCTGTCTGTATAGCTGTATTAAAGTTACAGCAACCGCCGTCTGTCGAACTCTCTGCATTAGCAGAGAGGAACCCGGACGAAGCTTTGCCGAAGGGAAAGGTTTCGTTCGGGGAGGTTATGACAGCTCTCGAACCTGTCTAGGCGAGTCGAAGGCTATATTTTTGGCCGGGCCTACGGGCTCGGGTGACCACGTAAAACTCGGCCTTGTGCCACATGCGACCCCACGTGGGGGGACAGCTAAATATTATAGTATATCTGTCTGCTTCAAGTTAGATTAAAAATTATTATTATTATTATTATTTTATTTTCTTTGATTTCTGGCGTTTACACATTTCTCTCCGGGTCCCGCCCAGGGACCTAAAGTTAGAAATGGCATCATGACACTTTCCACTGACAAAAAAAATAAATAAATAAATAAAATTACATAGATAAAGCCCTTCGTAAAGTGTGGGCTGTACTTGTCAGAACAATTTTTTGTATCTCCTTGAGGCATGGACTTCCAGGAATCCCTTCAATTAGTCTACTGCAATCTTTTCCAACAAGTCCTAGGGCTCCAACTACAACAGGGATTGTTGATGTTCCCATATGCCACATTTTCGAGATTTCTATTTCAAGGTCCTTGTATATTGACAGCTTTTTTGAATATCTTCAAAGATACATTGCAGTCAGCAGGGACTGCCATATCAATAAGGAGGCACCGTTTTTGTTTGTGGTCTTTAATAACAATATCTGGCCGGTTGGCCTTGATTGTTCTGTCAGTGTGTATTGTGTAGTCCCATAGAATTGTAACAGGTCCTATCTCCGTAACCGGGTCTGGGTGGTGTTCATACCAGTTTCTTTCAGTTTCCTTCCCGTAGAAGTTGCAGATTTTCCAGTGTAGATATTGGCCCACTCTGTCATGTCGGGTTTTATATTCAGTGGGTGCCAACATCGTGCAACCTGATACAAGATGATCAATCGTTTCTGGATATTTATCACAGAATCTGAATTTTGGGCTGACACAATATTTTAGTATATGTGCTTGATAATTCCTAGTTAGCAAGCATTGGTCCTGCGCTGCAAGGATAAAACCTTCAGTTTCCGCTTTCAACCCTGCACTACGTAGCCACTGATAGGTACGGGTTTTTATTATTATTATTATTATTATTATTATTATTATTATTATTATTATTTCCTTGGATTTCTGTTGTATAAACATTTCTTTCCTAGTCCTGACCAGTGACCTAACGTCAGAAATGCATTCATGATATCTTCCACTGATCATTTTTTGTAAAAAAAAAGATCACACACATTTTACATAGATAAAATTCTTCGTAATATGTGAGCTGTACTTGTAGGAACATTTTTTTTCTTTTTTCTTTAAGGCATGGGCTACAAGGAATCCCTTCAATAAGTCTATCAGAATCTTTTACAATCAATCCGAGGGCTCCAACTGCAACTAGAATTGTTGATGTCTTCATGTGCCACATTTTTTAGAATACCACTTCAGGATCTTTATATTTTGATAGTTTTTTGAAGGTCTTCAAAAATACATTACAATCTGCAGGGACTGCCATGTCAATAAGAAAGCACATTATGTTTCTGTGGTCTTTGAACAAAACGTCCGGGCGATTAACTTTGATTGTTCTCCCTGTGTGTTTTGTAAAGTCCCCTATCTCTGTAATCTCTGTAGCTGAGTTTGGGTGCTGTTCTTACCAGTTTCTTGCAGTTTCTTTCCCGTAAAAAGTGCATATTTTCCAGTGCAGATATTGGCCCACTCTATCATGCTGAGTTTTATATTATTATTATTATTATTATTATTATTATTATTATTATTATTATTGCATTTTTCCTGTCAACACCAGATGCCTGGTAGTGATCACAGAGGATCAAGTGAGAGCAAGTCTTCTCACATTTCCAGCACCTTTCCCAGTATCTTCGTCCACCTCTTCAACGCTGTGGTTTGTACATCTTCATCCTACTTCGGATTTTATTTTTTTAGCTCATCTAATTTCAATTCTAGTGTTTTCTTGGTTCAGTTCCAAGTGCACCTATTACTACAAACACGAATTTGACTTTTATATTCCATATCTTTCCCAACTCCCTGGAAAGGTCCTAACATTTTTCAAATTTCTCATTCTGTGGTCTACCGAGAGGGCCGCATCCTTTGGACAATTATCGGAACTGGCCATCTTACTGAAATTGGGGGGGGTCAATCTCGATATTAAAGTATTTTTTTTTTTATTTTTGTTTCCCAGTATACTCTCTGGTTCTGTGGTACCACCATTATTATTATTATTATTATTATTGTGGTATCATCTTGCCAGAGTAATTTTAAGTGCCTAATTACCAAGTTCCCTCTGGAGTCTGTGAGTAAAAAGACCAATGTAGGAGAGTTATCTGTACATACTTGGGACGTTTTGTTTAGATAGAGTGGGTTTTGCGGATTCCTCATAAAGTAATCTTTTGTAGCTCTGAGATGTTG